GTAGGCCTAAGAACTCCATACACATGACTGATGCCAAAGTCTGACATTAGCATATCAGCCTGGGATAGCTCCGGGGAGCCGACGGGGCTCCCCCCAGAAAATGGCATTTCATTACATTCAATGCTGGTTGTGCTGGTTGTCTGGGGGGAGCCCCTTCATCTCCCCAGAGCTACTTAACCAGAGACAAAACAAGAGGAACTTAGCCAGGAGACGGTTGCCACTTGCTCCTTAACTCGAAGTCGAGACAACTGGCTGCAACTGCCGACCCAATGCGAAACACGGCCGACTTGGGCCTGGAACATTGACTAGGTAAAGAGTGGCCAGGATCCTGTTCGACCTCCAAAAACCCTTGCCCGAATATCAGCCCAAGACATGTTACCAAAGATGGCAGCCAAAGCAGCAAACTTACAAACGTCAAAGGCACGAGGATAGATCACAAGCTGGCTGGACCAAATAACCCTGTGGACAACCTGGAAGACCCAAGCCCTGAAACAGGGAAAAGGGAAACCGGGTTAACCCAAAGCGCATCGCCACAGACGCCGTGGCGCGCAGTTAACGGCAAAGAGCTGCTACTGGACACAACACATGATGCACCCCCTGGCCTGACCAACCAGGCATCAATGACTCAGGAACCCCTCCAGAAAGCCGCCTACTCATTCTTCGCCAGAAAAAAAGGGGATAGCTGCAAACGAACAAACCTACCATCAGGACCGAAAGAGCAGAAACCTCTGTGCCAGAGGAGAGCAAGAAGTTCCCCGACCCAATCCCCAGAAGCCAATGCCAACAGGGAAAACAATCCTGAACCAAAGGTGCCACCACAAACTGAGAAGAGAGAAAGGAGAGCACCCTGCACAAGAGCACAAGGAGAGGACCAGGACGACTTAGGCAGCGCATGAGCAGGCCTGTGGTGAAACAAAAAACGAGAAAGCCTACAGAACAGAGCAGAAGAAACATCCACCCCAAATGCAAGCTGAAGAGGCTCTGCCAGCGCCGCACAATACGAGGTGACGTATTGTGCAATACGAGTATTAGGCATCAAATGACTCCACAAAAAGCCAAGAAAGACAAGACAAGACAAGCCTATCCGAAATAGAGGACAAACTATGAAGAGAGAGAAAACAGCAGAAAGAGTGTCAGGAAACTTTATACAGTGCCAAGACGAAGTTCGCAGGTGGGACACCATCAATGAAGCCACCTTATCACCATACAAGTGGTGATAGACCCGCATCAGAAAGACCAGACTCCTAGAGCGGAGAAGATCGAACCAGCCAGGTACCTGACCAGGCCGATCTCTTGAAAGAGGCGGAGCCGCGGAAAAGAACGCAGGTTCGGACACCAAGCAAGCAGCGCCTGAAACCAAGGCTGGGCCAGCAACCAAACAGCCAACAGGACTACTTTTCCCTGGTAAGTCAACAACTGAGCCAGGACCCAAAGTAACAGCTGGACCGGGGGAAAGAGGTACTGTACAGGTAACCCCACCTTGACCAGTCCTGCGAAAAGGCGTCCACCATGATGGCCTCGCAGTTGGAGAAAGCCATATACACAGGAAGATGAAAGGGGTCCACATCCAGGAGTCCATATATCCGGCACAGCCAACTGAAGAAGTCAGACTTGACCATCCATTCCATGGACAGGGGAATGAACCGAAACAGGCCATCTGACTGACCAGATGGGACTTCCTCAAGTTCACCAGGAACCTAGCCACCAAGGTAAGCACATCGGACGAAGACCCGGCACCAAGCACCTCCACATCCTTCTCAAGCCAGTCCGAGGGCAACTCGAGAAGTGAAAAGAAAAGCAAGACCGAAGCCAAATGCCCACGGTCACACAAATCCTCAGCTACCAAAGCAGCCAAAAAGGAGGGTACCCGCACATGAAGCTGCACAACGCCAACATTCCGACACAGCATGGGGTGAACAAGCACTCGTTAAGGTGCTCAAACTCGCCCCCCCAGGTAAACCTGTACAACAATGGAAGTCTCCAGCCAATCAAGTGTGTGGGTCCGATAAAATCCATTCCATGCTTCAAATGAAAGGAAAGGGCAGTCTGCTAACCACGAAGACTCCGGTACCTCATAACGCACTCAAAAGGGGAAAGTCGAACCGAACTCAAAAGAAGACAGATCCATCACTGAGGCTTAATCTGAGTCTCACAGGAGGTAAGCCGCGATGGCCTTCCGAACATCCTTGGGCAGGATTTGAGAAGCAAAAAAACCTCTGGAAGGAAGGAACTGAAGAACCCAGGGGAACCCGGAAGCAAACCCAGGGAGGAGCTGAACCCAAATCATACCCATACAGGGAAGGAGGGTATAAAAAACTCTACCCCTGCAACAACAAATCCTGCGACGAGGGAACCAACATCCAAGCGGGGTTAAACGGGGCCCATACATCACATGTAAACTCCTCCTGAGCCCTGGGATCCTCCACACCAGGACCCGGGGCAGAGCTGTCCTCCACACCCTTTGCCCCTAAAGAAAAGGCAGAATCCAGGGAAAAGGCTGAGAAGAAGGGGGTCCCTGTTAAGGCCCAGAAGCCTCGGCAGGAGGAGCAGGCTCAAATGCCTCCGTTGCCGACCCAGAAGGGACAGTCCCCGAAGCCACCCAAGTCTCATTTCCATCTAAACCCCGCCTTGACTCCAAAACCCTCAGAAGTTTGGGAGCTAGGAGCAGAGGGGGGGAAAGGGGGGAGGAGAACAAACAACACCAACCGGGAAAGGACAAGGGAGCGCGGATGAAACCAAAGTCGAAGCGACTAATGCCCCCAAGTCTGGGTCCCTAGAACCCAAGTGTAGTTCTTGGGTTAGGGAAGCCTCTGGGCTCATCCGGATCGGGGCATCCGAGATAGCAACTAACCTAGTGCGCTGCAGCAACCGATATCTAGCATGCAATGTTGAAGCTGCCTGTATCCGAATATCAATATCAGAAAACTGGTTAAGCTGGACCACGAGCAAAAAACAAGACTCGCAAGACTCCGGGTCAAAGGAGTCATTGACTTAACAGGCAGCATGACAGAAGCAAAATTGATGAGTGTCACTCTGAGACAAGACAAAGGGACAGAGCAACCTTCAAACTTGTACTCGACGAGTTGGGACCCAGAGGACACATCCATAGGTCCAAAAAGCCCCAATGGGGGTTTTCCAGGGCCCTTAGGCTGACTGCTAAGGGAAGCCTAGGCAAGGTATTGCTAACCGGTTGGACCCAAACTACCAAGAGAACTGCTAAAAACCTGAATCCGGCGATGTGTACTATCATAGGGGCCTAGCAGAGTACCATCAATACAACAGAAGGATGGATAAACCAAGATGGCAGACCCCCACCAGGCAAAATAAACAAAGAAATAATGAAACCCCACAAAAGCACAACGTTCCCAGGAGGAACAGAACCAGCCACTGTGTATAATGGGAGACAAGCTGCACAATACCTTGCAACGATAACTACATTCCTAAACAAGGCTAAACAGTGGCAACAAAAACCCTAGCTGGCCCAAAGGGCAGGCAATTGCTGCACAGCAAAAGACCCCTACAGAAGCAGTTCCCAAATGTCCTACGGAAAATACCCACAAGACGCAAGGGCAGTACTTACAGGGCGCTTAGGGAAGGTGACCCTAAGCGCATGCATCCCCAGTACGGATGAATTACTCCTGAACTGTGCACGACACACAGTAGAATACCCAAGACACAGAACTGCAAGAGCCTGCAGGCCAGAGTATAGGACCTCCACAGTACACATCAGCAGAACTACACCTGTAGGCACTGGCACTGGGTGCACAGATGATTGGCACGACGGCGTTAGTGAATTTGCTTGTTTGCTTGTTTTAGTTCAGATGTTTTGCGTCCCTGTTAGGTTTTTGGTAGCAATTTTTACCATGTGGGGTTTGTTTTGTTACGCCTACCTTTCTAGGTGCCAAACCCCGGTCGCTGGCAAACATGGAATGCTTTCAAATACATGAGGGTTTCCATAGGCCATTGCTCCTAGTGCCTCTATGAGGGGACCAGGTTCTGGCTGGTCCTGGTGGGCTAGAACTCCATCGACTGATGCCATGATCTAATACATATATATCAGCCCAGTTAGCTCCGAGGAGCCGTAGGGGCTTCCCACATAAACCCCCACGGAAATGGCATCCCGAAGGCACAAGAGAAGAGAACCCTAACACTCAGAGATAGTACTCACAGTGCACTCGGGGATGGCCACCCTAAGTGCATGCAGCCCTGGTACACTAAGGACACCTGGCCACTGCACTACAATGTAGCAGAGAACACCACTAAGGCAAAACACTGCCAGGAAATCAAGACCAAAGTTGATGACTGCCCCAGATCGCATTAGCCAACGAACTGGAGTTGTTGATTGGCTGGCACGAAGGGTCCGGGGCTCCCCCCCATCCCCTACTCCCCTACCAGGGAGGGGAGGGCTGTGCGGACATGCAGCACGGACATGCGGCGCGGAGATGCAGTGGCAAATTGTGACGTTTGCTTGTTTCCTTGGGAATTGGGGAAGTTCTGCCTCTCTGTTCAGTTTTCAGTTGCAATTTTCTTACCATGTGGGGTCTGTTTTGTTATGCCTACCTTTCTGGGTGCCTAACCCCAGTCGATGGCAAATAAGGAATTCCCCCAACCACAGGGGGAGGAGTTCCACTGCTCCCTGCAATTTCTCTGAGGGGGCCAGGTTCTAGCTCGTGATCCCAGGTAGGCTGAACCTCATTGACTAATGCCCTAATTTGATATATCGCATAATAGCCCGATAGCTCCAGAGGGCCGAAGGGGCTCCCCACATATAAGGGGCATTTTGAAATCTGTGAAATCTGGATTTCACAGGAACCAGATCAGGTCCATAAATGATACAGTAATACTGGTTTTCCAGGGTATGCATTGTATAATTTTTTCCTGTCTCCAACAGGATATATACCAAACATCATTATAACTATACTGTAATTCTCCACAAAATGTAGGTTACCATTAACATTTCATAATCAGGAGTAGGTTGAAAAGATTTTATTAATAATTACCGTTGCACCAATCTCCCTCCATGGCAGAAGGCTAGAGTGGTGTGTATATGGATCTACGAACACAACTGGAGCCTCGGATAACTTCAACCCATGGATTAACTTCTGCAAAGCACCTGTTGCACCACTGCCAACAAATAATACGCGATCGTGCTCCGATGCCTTGGTTGCATTTCGAATGATATCACGTGCCTCATGTCTATAAAAAAAAATCAATGTTTCCAATGTTACAAAACACAATTCAGAAAAAGAAGTTTAAGAATAAAAATGATATACAGTAGATTCAAACATTAACTGTGTAAATTCCAAACTACATGATCCAAACCTTGGATGTAAATAAGACTGCGATCAACCCCCCTTGATTGTGACACTTATTTCTGTATTGGTCTGTTCAGTGGTTCCCCAGAGGTTATGCACTGGTACCCAAGGTGTCAATACTATCTCACCAGGCATTTCAAATGAATACCAAACAAAACTGATACACAAGCAAAAAGCCACCCCGGTGCTTTCCCTTACTGCCACAAGATGGCAGTGCTAGTCTAGCAGGGGATTCAGTTCTGCCCAGCGTATCATTCTCTTGCCTCGTGTCTGGCCATTTGCTGGCATTTCATAATATCTTGTTTATTTTGCCTAGTGACTGGTTTTTCCTCTTTATGTCTGTTTAAATTTTAGTGTTCAGTTTCCTGCTTTATTATCCTCATGAACGTCTGTGCCAGCCACCTTGCGTGTCTTATGGTTTATAGTCTGCTTAAGCTGAGGTTTTGGTGCCACCGTCCCCAGCATGCTGTTGAGCAAGAGTTTATAGTGTAGGCATTGCCAGTTACCAGATCCCATCCTGAATATGAATGAACAAGAAGAATTGCTACTAACCAAAATGTATGTCAATGGAGTGATGTTAGATTAAGAACTGGATGGTCTATTCATTTCGCATTAATACAGTGTAAAGTTTGTGTGAATCATTCATAGTACAGTACTGTACTATTCCAAAATTATTTTGATGCAGCAGCTTATTTACCAGTACTGTATATACTGTATATATATTTATGTATTTGCAAATACAATATGCAGCTACTTTTTATTTTTGATAAATGAGCGGTCTTGGTAGTACAGTTGGGTTCATTCTCAACTCACATTCGGGAATCCTGGGTTAGAATCCCAAGCAAAAGAGAAATGACCGAACACATTTCATTTCACCTAATGCGCCTGTCCACCTAGCAATAAATAGGTACCCAGGAGTTAGTCAACTGCTGTGGGGTTGCACCCTGGGAAAGGTCCGCAGTTCAACCTGGGGAAGGAGGAGTGGGACCTCAATATAAGCTTAACTCGTATACATACACAGGCTGCCAGTCCCCTGACAAAACTAATTACAGTATTCTTTACTGCAGTATTAATTTCAGTATTAATCCACTGACATGCAAAGTGTTTTGTGCACAGTCACTGTATTACTTGACCCTACCTGAAGAGACTTGTTTGAAGAGCCGTGACTGAAGAAGTTGTGTGTGTGGAACCATACTGGGGAAGTACTTCACTGCTTATGTAGTCTTCAATAAACTTCACCGATCTCCCAGAGGCAATATAATCACAATATACAACTGAAATGCAATAATTATAATATTTTATATTGTACTGTATATACAACAGTGCAGAAATTTCATTCATACAGTATCTATTTTAATATTAGAGATCTATTACTGTTGATTTTAATCTCAGATACTGTAGATAAAGTTATTCAGCAGTGAATGTAATGAATTTAGTTTTTTTCAGGTAGGCTGCTCAGTAGCTCTCCGTCAACATTCTATTCTGTTTTTTTCCAGTCCGAGTCAAGTACATAGTCTGGCCTTAAATATTCAAGCACAATGAAAAAACAACTTTCACACAGCCTTGAAACAGCAGAGCACACAACCCTGAAACATCCACACACAGAGCCCCAAAAACGACCGGATGCACCACCTAGGAACATCAGTGACATAAGCCAGAAACAACTGGGTACATTGACCAGAAACAGAGTGGAGAACAGCCTGGGTCAGAAAGTATGAAAATGGATATATAGTACGTACAGCAAACCAAAAAGGGGCAGAATGGCATGTGATGATAAGGGTGGATGACTACAATAAGAAGAGAGTTCCCTTCACAAAGCAAAGTTAACCTGGAGGCCCAAACCAGGACACTATGCTGCAAACAGACAATTTAGTATACTGAACCCGAACACAATTTCACAACATGGACCACCCAACCACACCCAGGGAATCATCAGGTAGTAGCCAAAAAACAGTGACAGTGCATGCTCACAATATGCAAGCAGAAACCCAGAAAGTTTTAGGCCCTCAGCTTCATACCACAGCGCACACCGAGACACCAGCAAACTCGGGTTCCACTGGAGAATCTGTAGCACACACACAAGGAGGAACACAGCACAGAAGTGCAAGCACACAGAGGAAACAACACTCACCAGAAGGCTGGAGGAAGATGCAAGCTCAAGGGAACACTCCCTTCCCCCTTTCACCAACCACAGAGCTGGGGACTGTGTGAAAAATCCCAATCCCCAAACCTGGAACAAAGAAGAAGAATGGGAGAGCGAGGAAGTCAGCTTCACAATGTGATGTGGCTGACAAATCTAACCTCATTGACCAACTGTGACAAGAAACAGATGACCAGGAGGAATGAAACTGAGAAAGATCTCAGAACAGGGAAAACTAAACCAACCCAAAAACAGGCCAAGGAGAACACCCCCAGGCAGCCCCACAGCATCATGCAGGCTGAGTGAAACCTGGATAGAAACAATTACTTGCCCATTTTGGGACTGTGCACAGCCCCAGGGAAGGCCAGAGAACACTGGGGCCACAAACCCCCAAAAGCAAGGGAGGAAACCCCAGAGCCCAGCCAGAGCTACAGAGAACCCACAGAAAACTCCATAAACAAGAAACTCCAGGAAATCATTCAAAAGTCCAACTCATGAACAAAATGACCTGGGATACAGTTGTAAAGAGGGGCAAGGAATAAACAGATTCAACCGCAAAAGGTCGAGGTTAAACCGGAGGTCCGGTGAATCCCGTTTCAGGACCGGGAAGAAGTGGGAAGAGACAAAATTGTTTCAACCATGAAGCAAAGTTCAAAGAGAAATAGTAAAACAGAGAAACACAATTATGAGGCATAAACACTAAACAAAGTCTGGTCCCTCTTGAGACATATACCCCAAGGGAAACCACCACCACTTAGCTAAGACCAGTAGATAGAATGATTCCAGCTGGAATATATGACACTTGACAATACCGAGTTTGTGAGAGAGGAGGATGGTGGTCCAGGATTCTGGGTGACCTAAGCTATCATCTGACAGTGGCTGGCAAACTGGGTAAAGAACACCTTGGGCCAGATTCACGAAGCAGTTACGCAAGTTCTTACAAACGTGTACATCTTTCCCCAATCTTTGACGGTTCTGGTTACATTTATTAAACAGTTTACAAGCATGAAAACAACTCAGTCAACTGCAGACGATGAGTCACAATAACGTGGCTGAAGTATGTTGCCCAGACCACACACACTAGAAGGTGAAGGAGCGACAACGTTTCGGTCTGTCCTGGACCATTCTCAAGTCGATTGTGAGTCAACTGTTGTGATTGCTATGAACAGCCTCCTGGTGCTTCAGAGCTCATTAACTGTTTAATCATTGTAAACAAAGCCACCAAAGATTGAGAAAAGATGTACAGGTTCATAAGTGCTTGCATAACTGCTTCGTGAATCTGGCCCCTTGTGTTTTCAGGTAGCCTTGGTAGTCTGGGCAGAGTTCCTTTCTTAGCTACGTTTCTGGCCACGGTTTCTAGTCCTTGGGTCTAGTAGGCAGTTCTCAGAGCTTGGGTTTATGGTCCCCGCACCTGGGTCTGCTGCTTGTTGGTTTCCTGGTGTCCCTTAGGATTTTGGTTTTGGTCAGCCAGTAGTGTACATTTGCTCCCATACTGGGTACCTCGTTGCTGCCTTGACTGCATGCCTTGGTATTTTCTACCTCAGTTTCTGTTCAGGATCAGGACATTTATTGGGGTAGTCCACCAGGGTGTTGGTCTTTGGCTCTGCCAGATGCAGGTGTTTCAATATTAGGGGTGCTGCTGGTGCCACTCTATTCCAGGCCCTTGTCTCCTACCTCCATAATCTACAGGTATGCCTTGGCTGCATGTTTTTCTATTCCTTGCTTTATTCTTTTTGATAAGTGCTTGCCTCTTATACTGAGGCACCATTGAGTAAGGAATTATTTCAGTGTAGAGACTGGAACCAGTCCGTCTACTATTTTCCCCAGATGTAAATTGCGGTGTATCAATACCCGCCTGTCCTTCAGGGAATACAATTTGAAGGATCCCAAAGAGTCTCAAGTACTAGCTCAGGGAGCTACTGAGGAAGCCTTTTTAAAAAACCAGCCATTAAAAGTAATGAAATGTCATTTTCTGGTGGGCCCTCAGTCGATACCCTGACCCCACTCTATTCCCTTCTTCCCCCATAAGGTGGAGGGGACTGACTTGGGCAACCCATGATTGATGGAGTAGGCTGGCTGGAGCCTTCTTGAGCATTCAGAGTTGCTACACAGTGGCAGTCAGGCATATCATAATTTGAGTTCATCTTGCAGGAATGATCATCTGCTTCATTTTGCTGGGTACAGTACCTCATTTTCTTCAAGCAGTTGCTTATTTTTGTTATTTTCATCATTTCTTGTGAGTGATCATCACAACTTTGGATTGATCTGTGATGCTTAAGCTTTTCTTGCCTCGCAATGATAGCCAGATTTTGGCCCCCGTTTCCAGTAGGCAATAGCAGGTCTCAAAGATCTGGTACGTCTTCCTACGACTATGCTGGCCCAGCACTTAGCTCGTGGAGCTACTGAAGGCCCCACTAGCAATAGGTATTTCATTAAATTCAACGCTAGTTTTTTTAACTCTAACCTTAATTTAAAAAGCTAAAGATCTTTATGAACAAAAAATTTCACCTTTGCGCGTGCCAAATGGAGTTGAGAAAGCAGTTGCCGATCCAATGATATTTTCTGCCACATACTTCACAAGATCTGGAGTGCTGGCAATATCGTCTCTCACCTTATCTTGGACTTCTGAATTGACAAAGTCATAAAACTTCCTATGAGCTCCAGGTCTAGCCATGACACCTCATAAATCTTTCTGGAAAATTTAAAAACAATGAATAGCTAGATGAAAACCGGAAAATCTATGAAAATCAACAGAGAAAACAGTAGTGTTTTTGTTCACTAATACATTTCTCAATTACAAATACTGTATATGCCAAGAGAAAAAGCAGGATAAATGTGTTTTACCATATGTTGTTATGTAGCTACTCTTATACCACTACTTATACCACTTATACCACTGTAGTTAATATGGGGCATATCTTGAGATGATTTCGGGGCTTTAGTGTCCCCGCGGCCCGGTCCTCGACCAGGCCTCCACCCCCAGGAAGCAGTCCGTGACAGCTGATTAACACCCAGGTACCTATTTTACTGCTAGGTAACAGGGGCATAGGGTGAAAGAAACTCTGCCCATTGTTTCTCGCCGGCGCCTGGGATCGAACCCAGGACCACAGGATCACAAGTCCAGCGTGCTGTCCGCTCGGCCGACTGGCTCCGGCATAGTTACGTACTAAACATAGTATGAAATAAAGTTTCCTATACAGTCCCTTAAAATTAAGGAAATAAAATAATGCTGTGATCGGCAACAAGCATGCTAATAAATATTTACACCCTTCTATTTGTTAAAAGCATTTTATTGTTCAAATTTTAACTAGATAGAACCATGTCTAAACTGATGGAGAGCAACGGTGAATTGAAAGGAAAATGAAGACAACAAAATTTAGACCATGTGCCATTTAACAAGTATATATATGGATATATATACCACACAAAATGTACCTCCATTTCTCAGTGTATATGCAATGAGAAGTGGAGTACAATACATAATCTAATTATTTTCAGTACTAAAATATACATTTTGATTTATTATTAAACACTCGTAGTAGCATAAACATTTTCGTTGCACCACACACTGAAACAATTTGTTCCAATGAAGGGTACAAATTATGTTTCTCTACGGTTGCCACTTTGCTAGTTGTGAGGTTTCAGGAGTTTTTTTTCCTTGTGTTTTCATACCGTCATTTTTGTCTGTTGTAGCAGTGGAGGTCTGCTTAGCGCCTGATTAGGCTTAGCCTAGGTTGTGGTGGTGGTCCCCCCCTCTGTTGCCCCCGAGGTTTCACGGCTGCTACTTGCAGTCAGTTTGCCTGCTTTTGATAGGGTTTACAGGCTTAGCTAACCCCAGTGCCTGGTCTTCCCTTAGAGCTTATTCCCTCTGTGGGCCCCGGAAACCCCTGTGGGCTCGGTCTCGATGTACTTCTTCCGAGCCCACTCTCGCCTTGTGCGATGTTGAAGGTTGCTTGTCTGCACTGCCTCAGGGAGATGATCATCCATTCTGCCTCTGCCTTGCTGCCTGTTGGGTCAGGTAACACCTCCGACCCTGAGTCCTGTGGGACTGGTTCCCCGCTTGTACTCCACTTATTCCTCCCTTCTCTATTGCTCTGAGGGATCAAGCAGCTGCCGCACTGCATACACAGTTCTCGTTTGCAAAGGGTCAGGTTGGTTTCTCGTTTGGAAGCCCTGAAGCTGCCCCGCTTGGGTTTTGGGGACTCAGATTTGGGGGCATTGATCACTTCGGCTTTGGTTCAGTCTGCACCTCCTTTTTTTTCCCAGGTGGGCGAGGTTCATGTTGCTCCTGCTTCCAGCTCCCAAACCATCTGTGGGTTTCGGAGTCGGGGCAGGGTTTTGCTCAGGGTGAGGCTCACCAGTTCCAAAAGGCGACTATATGGATCTCCGGTACGTACTGGACTTGTCTAGTGACTCGGTTGGTTCTATGCCCCTCCTTTCGGATGTGCTTGGATGATTTCCCAGGACCTCCTGGATGAGTTTTGGCATGCCTTTCTCTTTAAACAAAACCTAACAAAACTAGCCCTAAACCGAAACCTAACAAATCCCTGACCCCCTTCTGGGCTTCAGGGATTTGTTAGGTTTTGTTGTAGGGCAACAGGCTTACCGCTTCTGTTGTCTCCCTTTCGGGTTGACTCTTGGCATCTTGCATTTTTACGCATTTGACTCGGGTCATGGTGGCCTATCTTCGTCTGCTATGTCTTAGGTCTTCGCCTGCCTCAATGACTGGTTGGTGTGGGATCCCAGCCGGTCTGCTTGTCTGCTAGCCAAGGATCTGGCTCTTTCCCAGCTCGACGGGTTTGGTCTCTTGGTGATCTGGCGGAAGTCCCAGTTGGTCCCATCCCAGGATCGGACTTGGCTGGGCTTTGTGTGGGATTCTCAGATTGTGTCCCTTTTGTCCCGCCTGAGGCCTTGCTCTGGTTGCAGTCCCGCCGTCGGCTGTTTTTGATGGGACCTGGGTCTCTTGCCGGTTGCTCAAGCAGCTGTGCAGGAGCCAGAACTTTGCTCTGCTGGTTTATCCACAGGGCAGGGTTTGGCTTTGGAGGCAGTTCTGGTATCTTCGGGGCAGCCTCTTTCACCACTCTCAGGTTCACTGGGATGTCCCTGTGTCCCTGGGCCAGTTGCTGCATCACCAGCTTCCTCTTCAGGTTCTTCGGGGTTTGGTGCCATGGCACCTTCCACCTTCCTTGCTTGATGTATTCACAGATGCCTCATCTGTTAGATGGGACTTTGTGACCAGTGCTCATCAGTCCAGCCAGGGGCATGGGCACCTGTCAATGCATTGGATTCACAGTACAGTGTGTGGGTTTGTGGTAGTGTGGCTAGTGCTGTGAAGGATTCAGCTTCCTCGGGGCTCAGTGATTCGGCTCCATTCGGATTAGTCCCCTGTGGTTTATGGTCTCAACTGGATAGGGAGGTGGGGGATGGGGCGCTTCAGTTCATGGCTCTTTGGAGCTGGTCGCTTCAGGAAGCTCTTCTGCTGAGTTCTCGGGATTTACTGTCTGTGCCATTCACTTTCAGGGAGTGTCCAATGTCCTGGCAGAGGGTCTGTTGCAGTTCATTCTCTTTCCACGGAGTGGACGGTTGTCACCGCTTTCTTTCTTTGGTTTTGCTGCACGTACGGGCGCTCGGAGGTGGGCCTTTTCGCATCGGTGTGGCCTTGGCATCTCCCATTGTAGGTGGTGCCATTCCCCCAACTGCAAGGCTCTTGCAGTGGATGCTTTTCAGCTGAACTGGTCGAGATGGGGGTTCTTGTACCTCTTCACCCCGGTTCAGCTGTTGCTCCGGGTTCTGTCTTGGTTGGAATCCTATCAAGGAAGGGTTCTTCTCCTGGCCCCCATGGTGGCCAACCCAGCCATGGTTTCAGTTGCTGCTGAATCGCAAAAGAACATGGGAGTTCTTTTGCGACTCCACCAGTTTCAGCAGGTCGTGCCTGTGAGGTACCTCGCTGGTTCAAATTACTCCTCTGCATTAAGTGCCTGACATTTCTGATGCATGTGTATTGCCATTTGTATGGTGATCAGGTGGCTTCTCTGATGGTATCCCACCTGCAGTCTTCGTCTCGACAACAGTATGCAGTTTCTTGGCGGTCTTTCCTCTATTTTCTTTCTCTTCGTTGGGTTTTGTCTGTGATGGACCGGGTTGTTTTGTCCTTTCTCTTGTAGCTTTTTCTGGATCGGCATCTCATGCCAAATACTGTCACTACTTATCATGCGGTATTCACGGAACTCCTGCAGCTTGCATTCAGGGTGGATGTCACTTCTGCTCCATTTTGTAATCTTTCTCGCACATTCTTTCACCTCTGGCCTGCTCATGGGCCGCCTGAACCTTCTAGGTCATTGGACCGGGTTCTTTCTTTTCTTTCTTTCTTTCTTCTCCTCGGCTTGTGGTGGTCCCTTCAGTTCGTAATTGTTTTTGAAAGGAGTTGATTTTGTTGGCCTTGGCCTCGGGGGTTTGGGCTAAGGAGATTCTTGCTCTTATTCGGCACCAGGGGTTTTGTTTCTTTGGTCCTGGTGGTCGATTTGTTCATTTGCAGCCCTATCCTCCTTTCCTGGCAAAGAATGAGAGAAGAGGGCTTCTGAAAGGTTTCTTTGATTGTGGATGCTTGGTTGGTTAGGCCGGAGGTGCATCACGCTCTGTGTCCGATAACTGCTTTACGCTGCTACCTGCGGGCCATCGATTTTGTGTTGGTGGATGCACTCAGGATTGATCCAGTTTCCCTAGTTACCTGTTCTAGGGTTCATGTTTTTCAGGTTGTCCACAGTGCCATTAAGTCTAGTCAGCCTGTAGTCTACCCTCACGCCCATGATGTTTGGAAGTACAGTACAGTATGCTGCTCTTTCGGCTGTCTTTGGTAATATGTCTTGGAACGATATTCGCGTGCGGGGGCTTTGGAGGTTGAACAGGGTTCTGGCCGCCAAGTATCTCGTGAACATCCCAGTTCCTCTACGGCCTTGTGTGGCCTTGGGGTGCCTGTCACGGCCGTCTGTCTCTTCCTCACTTTGAGACCTGCAGTGCTGCAGCCTTCCAGGTAAGTCTCTGCTTGCCTTGTCTGTGAGTAGTTACTTTTGGGGAGCTGATGGGGCTCCCCTACAGAAAACCCTCATTAAATGTAAAGAAATGCCAGTTTCTGGGTGAGCCCCAGAGGCTCTCCTCCCCTTGCAGAGGGTGGGGGGGGGGGGAGCCAGTGTACATCACAAGTGTAGGAACTGCCGTCAAAGCAAAAATCCAGAACAGAAGTTGCGGCTCGAGCTGACGTCCAACCAAACACATCAGTCAAGAACTGAATTTGTGAATTGCCGGCTCTCGCTCCCCTCACGGAGGAGGGGGAGTAGAGCTAATGAGTGGGGGGCTAGTTGGATGAAGTGTTGCTTGTTTTCAACCAGACAGTGGTTCGTTTTGATTTGCCTACCTTTCTGGGTGCCTTCCCTGGCCGATGGCAAGTATGACATACTTTAAATGTAAAGTGTTCATAGATCATTGCTCTCTGCACTTCTCTGAGGAGGGCCAGGTTCCTGGCTCTGGTTCCCGGTAGGCAACAAGAACTCTGTGACTGATGACCCCAACTAATATAGCACTAAATCAGTATGGATAGCTGGATTTCACTAATTTCTTTATCAGCCTTTGTGTATGAACCTTAATTTAACTTGTAAGTATAGGTCCAATAATACTGATGGAGGCTATTTAATTTCG